GGCATCTGCAAATGAACCAGCCGTTACACTTGAGTGCACACCCACCCGCTCTGACTGGGTTCGGTATCCCGGCTGCTTCGTTTCTTGGGAAGTAAACCCGAAGTACACAATATTGCACTTTTGATTTGCGATTGTATGCTTATAAGTTTGTTTATATGTTTTTTCATAACCAACAATGTATATTATATGTCATGAATAAGTGATAATTGTGTTTTAATTATGTTTGATTTTTTGGTTGCATGTGACCTTTAATTGACTGCCAATGAGATTCACAATGGGCAATTGTTTATTATCTTTGGACAAGAACCATTTAGCTTGTCTGGTAACTATTAACCAAAAGTCCACCTAGGTTTTTCACAATGAAACACTGTTAAACTACTATACAAATTCACAATAGTGTAACTACTATACAAATTCACAATAGTGTAACTACTATACAAATTCACAATAGTGTACAACTAAAATATATACTCCCCTCTGCAAGGGATGCAAATATTGTGGACTGAAAAAGCTATACTATGTCTGCTTATTGTTTTTTACTCTGCACTCAGAAATGTTCCTGTATGACAGCAGTCTGTAAATAATCATGTCCGGACCAGACAATCCAGTGATTAACATCATGAGCATTGATCTAAGCAACTGGGATAAGATGACCTGCATCAACCAAGTCAGTGAGCCCGACTACCATGCGCAGGTTCTTATGACAATCATGGGTTGCTGAAGACCAATTCTATCACAGATCTTCATGTGTTATTATATGCCGTTAAGATTAGTGACTTATTTGTGTAACTGATTGTTCTGGTTTTCCTGAACATGCGGAAGGGACATGATGTAGTTTTTATCCACCAGGGATTTACAGGACGCGAATTCTTGCATCCTATACGCATAAAAATTGACAATGGACACAGCAAAATTTATTATGGTGGGTGCACCACATGGACGCAGAAAATGTCCAAATATTTTATTTTTTTAAATTTCAATCAAGTAGCAATAAGTTATCACTGAGTCTGCTACTAGCTGGGTTATGGTATCATTTGCAATTTAATTACTGTAACAATGTGATGATCTTGATACACAATACAATAACAGAAGCTGGAGAACAACAATATTACAACATAGTATTAATAATAATATTTAAGTGTCTGGGACCCCCATTTTGTAGTCCAGGACCCCTGAAAATTAAGAGCACGAGTCCCAGGGACCCTCAAATACAGGACTCAATGTAAATCCCTGATCCACACATTGTGTAATATTATGTGCAGTCAAAAATGTCATAGCATCCCTTCAGCATGTTCATGAAAACAGGGACAAACCTTGTCAATTTTGTCAACAAAAATGTGAAATTGGAGATATAACATCACTGGACATGATATTGATACACCTAATACATAGTAAATACTTTTCATAACTGGCGATAAAGGAACATATGCGCACATCTGTGCCATCTTGTTGACATAGCATTGCACGTGCCACATGCTCAGTGTAGGGTCCTTGTGTTGGGAAATAGTATCAAAAGTCGATGCAGGCGTGTACTGCGTTCAACCATATCTACACAGTCTTATGTCTTCGGGCAAAAAATGCTCTCCCCTGAAAGAATACAGCATTCTGATTGAACGAAACCTTAGACTTCATAATAATGGAAATTATTCACAAATCCTGAGAAGGATTGTAAAATGCCTAATTCAGACTAGTTGTCCCACTAGCAGTTTATGAATGACCCTTGCTGTGGGATAGTTTCACATATGGAGCTGTTACATCTCTGAACTGGTTTATATCAGTGTCCAGCGAATTTTCTCGACTCAAATGACATGGGGCCTTGACCATCATTTGATGGGACATATGTCATCATCTTTATCAAAACAATTTCACTGATAATTAGTCAACGTCCTTGAAAATGAACTGATGTGAAACCCTGATGTTCTTTCCTTGACAACTGTCAATAGTGTTATCACAGACCTTATGACAACTAAAATAAAGAGGCACCAGTTGGTTTTTTCCCCAATATCTAATCAACCCTTAGTCCTTACAGGAAAGACCTGTGTGAGAAAATAGCTATGCCATACATACTGTAGTATTGGTATATGAAAGAGTAAACTTTGTTTTAGCAGCAATGCATATATACTAGGGTTCGCAATATAACCGGTTTACCAGTAGTTACCGGTTCAGACATGAAAACGATACGTATTGCGATACGCTGATCGAAAACCGTATTTTGACTTGCATTAGGAAAATTTCGTAACACTCGAAACAACACTGAGTTAACCCAAGCTGCCTGGGAGACATTAGTAGGCTAACTGTCATATGACTTATCCCACCGGGTAATTGATGCTCAAGATGTTGATCACTGGATCGTCTGGTCAAGACTCAATTATTTACAGACTGCTGCCATATAGCTGGAATAATTTTGAGAGTATCGTTAAACAATAATCAAACTAAACTAAACCAAAACCCATTCACTACTATAGGCATGGGACCTCAGGCTGGGTCATTAACTTGGACAATGTAGGCTCCAGACTCTTTTAAGCCATTGAGTATTTACAAAGTGATCATTAACATTAGGTATTGAAAGTTTTCATAAGGGTATTCAGCATATATTCACCTTCTTCCATTTAGTCTGTTGGGATGTGTAAACAAACAGGGGACTTTTTCAATAGTAATTCTACTTCTATCCTGTTTCAAGCAAGTTGAACAAGAATGCACGATGAGGACTATTTTGTATGGATATACAACTTCTTTATTCTGTATAGACGACGTTTCGACATAGATTCTAATGTCGTTGTCAAGCAAGAATGCATTTGTATGCTGCCCTTAGTCACATGTAGTGATACATGACTAATTTGAAACAAGCAAGATGTTGCATATCAACAGCAAAGCTCATATAATTATGACACATGCATTAGTTCAGTGAGTGAGTTGGGTTTTACGCCGCTTTTAGCAATAATCCAGTAACATCATGACTCGGGACACTAGAAATGGGCTTCACACATTGTAACCATGTGCGGTATCGACCCCAGGTCTTCGACTTGACGAGCGAATGCTTTAACCACAAGGCTACCCCACCGCCTCCATTAGTACAGTGAAAAAGATCTGTAACGATGTGAGCATGGAAAAGTGTTAGCTGAAATAGCTAGACTGGCTCATTACACACTGTTATTATACTGTCAACATTTTTCAAACTCCATAGGGTTTGGTGATTCAGTGAGCTTTGACACAGACAGTCCTAAGATTGTCTGCCTTACAGTCCCTGAACCATTTTCCTCCTATCCAGCCCTTTTCTAATGTACATGGCCTAAATGAAGTGTCAAATTGTCATCAGGTTCTGATTCTCCAACCTCACTGGGCTCCTTTTCAATTATAACAAGAAGACAAAGTCATCAATATCCCCCGCAATGGCAAAATACTCTTCATGATTATGTCTACGAGTTATGATTATGTCAAATATTTAGGTGTGTATATAGAAATATTTAGGTGTGTATATAGAAAAGTGGAAGGAGAGTATTGAAAGGTTTTTAAAGTTCTGCTCCAGAAAGCAGCACTATCACCAATTTCATTCAAACTTGTTGCCATGGAAATGCCAAAAATATTTTATTCAGAATTCCAAAACTACCAAAAGGCACCAGTACACCACCAGATCTATCTATGTGCCAAGTTTGGTGAAGAAATATTGAAAGGTTTTAGAGTTCTGTCTCGAAAAGAGCACTACTACAATTTCAGGCTGTCAAACTTGTTGCCATGAGCACTATTTAATTCACCAATTTCAGTCTAAGTCAAACTTGTTGCCATGGAAACGCTGTCTGAAAATATTTTATTCAGAATTCCAAAACTACCAAAAGGCACCAAAAGTACACCACCAGATCTATCCATGTACCAAGTTTGGTGAAGAAATATTGAACGGTTTCAGAGTTCTGCTCCGGAAAAGAGCACTACCACTAATTTCAGTCAAAGTCGAACTTGTTGCCATGGAAACGCCAAAAACATTTAATTCAGAATTCCAAAACTACCAAAAGGCACCAGTACACCACCAGATCCATGTATGTGCCAAGTTTGGTGAAGAAATATTGAACGGTTTTAGAGTTCTGCTCCGGAAAAGACAAATGTGCACGGACGGACGGACTGACGGACGGACGCACGGATGCACGGACGGAGTCCATTTTAATACCCCCCGCAAAACGCGTTGCGGGGGATAACAAGTGAGTATGGCTTTACCCTTTTACCAATATTCCAGCAATATGATGGTGGCGGACACCAGAATTGGCCTTTATACCTTGCACCCATATGGAGAATCGAACCCGGGTCTTTGGTCTGACAAGCAAATGCTTTAACTGTTAGGCTAGCCCACCATCCCTTTTCAGTTTGAATGAGGTTCTTTAGTTATACATTGCAGGGCTCCAGATAAGTTTTCAACATCAGGAGAACGTACTCCTTATTTTTCAATATAAGAGTACTCAAAAACCTTAAAAGTACATATAGAGTACTGAATGGAATTTAATGGAGTATAAGTAATCTTGTGTTTGGTTTCATATATGCACCACAACATTGCTACTCTTGTGTAAACAGGTCAATAACCAATAAAACAATACTTTTCCAAAAACATATATGTCTGTAAATGATTCTAAGACCATTGCTGTGGTGCGTATCTGCTACGTTTTTTAAATTATTTCCTACCGTATCATGCATATTTTTTATTTGTACATAAGCCGATACGGCCCTTATCTGGAGCCCTGCATTGTCAGAGACTAAACGACAGTCTAGTCCAAAGGTCGAGAGTGAAAGTACTGAAACAAACAAATGTTCCAAACAGCTTTACATTGACAGCCCCACAATTATCAAATCTGGGCATGGTAAGCAAATGGTCAACAGCATGAGCAAACAGCCAGGTCAGACATTGTAACCTACGGATCCACATATTGTGGCCCTCACGATAAGGTGACATCAACTACTAGAGGCCTACACTGGCACTGAAGCAACAGGTTTGAACCACCACCTCTGGTCCAGCTTACATTGTATTTGTCAGGAGTGGTTTCTGTGAGTCTCTCTATCACAGTGGTGACCACCACTTCCTCTGAATCACTGAACCAGATGGGAGCTGACTGTGGATACGTTTCCTGAAAAGAGAAAATAAACTTTAGTCTATAAATAATGATGACATTAAAGAAGCTGATCAACAACCCTGTCTGTGCTATCCCGTAATCCAAACTTAGTTTATGAAATCAAAAGAAACAAAATGTCAGAGATACAATAGTTGCATCTTCAATGATCCAGAGCATATATGTCTAAAGTATTGGCAAGGAACCTGTGAGAGACGATATATCATCACAATACAATGGTGGCGATACAATGCGCCCGATACTTTACAATTGCTAATAACAGAACAGATATGATAGATAAAATGACTGAAACTTTATTTGTTATACAGCAGAACTTGTGTTCCATTCACACACACTTGAAAAGCTGTTCATCTAATAAAGTTTCAGCATTTAATGCTTAAGAAAGTCAAACATATTCAGTATACCTTGATCTAATATATATAAATCTGAGAGTGAAGTTTCCCTTGGGAAGTTGTGTTTCTACACCAATGCTTTCACAAACAACTCAATGTAATTTATATCAGCATTCAGAATCACTTAAGTCTGCTTTCTAAAGTTTATCTTCTGTTTCTTCTCTTTCTTAACAACGCTAAGACATCGTTCATAGTTGTAAATAAATAGTGTTATTTATCAAACAACTAAAACATATCTGTATATTTCAATTACTTGAAAGTAATTATTCTCAGTTCACAGAGTTTAAATGTTCATACACTGTGACTTATACACCAACTTCTTTGTTTATGTAGCAGACATAACAGACACAAACAAATTCCTTTGAAGTTCAATTTGTTTTTAAAATTCAGAAGAATTTCAAAGAGACTCCTTTCCCATTCCTAATGCAATACTCCCTACAACTTTAAGTAGTATTTAAGTTGTATCGGGATATATCGTCTCTTGTGGCGATACATCGATGTATCATGGACCCTCTCGACATAAATATCCTGATATATTGCCTAAATGTGATTTGTATCGATGCACTCGTATCTCGTAGTTGACGATGTAAACATCGATACTATTGATGAATCGTTACACCACTACACTGACTGACTGAGTTTTGGTTTTACGCCGCTTTTAGCAATATTCCAGCAACATCACGGCGGGGGACACAAGAAATGGGCTTCACACATTGTACCCATGTGGGGATTCGAACCCGGGTCTTCGGCGCGCGACGAGCCAACGCTTTAACCACTAGGCTACCCCACCGCCCCTACACCACTACAAATGTCAATGCTTTTGTTGTGAATACCAAGGAGCTATTAGTCACCTTCATTGTAAAAGCACACTTCAAGTTCACAGACGCATGAAATAGTATTCCATCCAATGGCATGTTCTATGGCAGGGTGTGATTTCGCTATTTACAACCTGCACCGGTGCATGTTAAAAACGGCTGGTGCAGGTTATACTATATAACAGGTTGCTCAAGGTGCAGGTAACAATAAATCTTCCTGACCCAAATGAGAGTGTTTGTCACGTGTACTGGGAATGTCAGGAGACACAAACTTTTTGGAAAAACCTACAAAGTTGGCTTAACAATTTATACCCTCATCCATTGCTATTATCAAAACATATGGTTTGGTTTGGTACTCTACGTCAAAATTAGAGCTGTGTATCGTGGCCTAAGTGGCGAGACGATATATCCCGATACTAGTTTAATGAGGCGAGACGATATATCATGAAAGTATTTATCTTCTCTTTCTTAACAAAACTAAGACATCGTTCATAGTTGTTAATAAATGGTGTTATTTGTCAAACAACTAAAACATGTTTCAATTACTTAAAGACAAGTCTTTACAGTTCACAGAGATTGTTCACATTCTTTCACTTATACACTAACTCCTTTGTTTATGTAACAAAGATGGCAGACACAAACAAATTCCTTTAAGGTTCAGTTTGTTTTTAAAATTCAGAAAAATTTCAAAGAGACTCCCTTCCTATTACTTATGCAATACTCCCTACAACTTTAAGTAATATTTAAGTAGTATCGGGATATATCGTCTCTTGTCGCGATACATCGATGTATCATGGACCCTCGCGATATAAATATCCTGATATATTGCCTAAACGTGTTTTGTATCGATGCACTCGTATCGTGTAGTTGACGATGCAAACATCGATACTATCAATGAATCGTTACACCACTAGTCAAAATATACCACTAAATAACATCATCATTGTAGCAAAAAAAGACACATTTACGTATGCAGTATTAAGAATATGCATCCAAACATAACTCTATTTATAAAAACTCTTAAAGAAATATTCTTTGTGGAAAACCATATATGCATTTGATGAATTTGATGAATAATTAGAAAGATGTGATACTTTATGGATAACAACTTCTTTATTATATTATGATGCAACATTTCGGTATAGATTCTTACACCGTTGTCAGGCAAGAGTGAAGTAATACAGCACAGAACTGACGTATATACACAAGTCGCATCGCCATCATAGTAATAGAATAAAGAAGTTGTTCCAGAAAGTATCCGACCTTTCTCATGAAACAGAATCATTCATCATTTATCATCATGGGGTCAGGTGCTGTTGAATGTATCTGATACTGAGTACTTGCTATGAAAACTGCTAAACAAGTATTTATGTTACTTTTAAGAATTAGTGACATTTATGGTGCAACCAAATTTTCATGGTGCAGCCAAACCTATAAGACAGGTTGCACTCGGTGCAGGCACTGAATAAAACCAAACTTGCACCCTATATCAGTATATGGATTTGAGTGAGTATGGTTTTATGACAACACGGTAATATTCCAGCTAGCTGTGGTCCTATTAATTGAAACAATCGAAGATAGGTCGCAATAACTAAACGACCAAGCAATCAATCATGTTTTCTCATAATCGAACACAAATTTTTTTGGAACACTTGTTTGCATTAACAATATTTCTCCCAAGGTTGGTTTTGTCTGTTATATTTCATGACCACTACTGTAGTCTACAAAGTCATTACATGTCATAATTGAATTTATCTTAAAGACTCCAGGAAAGTTATGTTCCCAACATATTAGGCATCCTTTAAAGACGTAAAATTTGTAAATGCATTTTGTGCAATTTGAAAACCCCCGAAAGAACTGCATGATTTTTTTTTTTAAATTGTACATTAACAAACATCGAAAAAAATTGATAAATGACGCTAACCAAGTTTTTTCGATGATTGGTCGGTTGTAATGAACCAATAATCAATTATGAGATTTTAACCAATTCCCAACACTAATTCCAGCAATATCTTGGTAGGAGACACCAGTACTGATCTTCCCACTGTACCCATGTGGGGAATCAAACCTGGGTCTTCAGCATGACGAGTGAATGCCTTTACCACTGTGTTACCCCACTGCAGCCTACTGGGTTGAACATTCAAGCCCCTGAACACATCAAATGACTATATCTAGTTCTATCAGTCAGTGACACCCTCTGCTGCTGTGACTGGTACAATAACTCATGAATAAGCCATCTCGGTGTGGCTGTGATACTGTCAGAAGATACCTGGGAGAAGTGGTAAGCATCAGACACCCCAGGGTTCTCAATTCGTTGTGATGGTATTATTAAAATTAAAAACATTAACGAAAGAAAAACAACTTAAAGTGAACAGATGACCATTTGAACAAACTTAAATGATTAGCGAGGAAATACAAATGTTCTGAATACTTACATGATTGGAATTCATTGTCATGGAAACCAGAAAAATCTCATTCAAAAATATAGAATTAGCAAAGCAGCACCAGCTCAAGGCTAGAATATCTGTGCACAATTTGATAAGGAAATAGTGAACTAACATTAAGGATGAGTTGAGGACGCTTCAGACACCATGTACATGACTGATGGAAAGTCTGAAGGATGGAGCCCATAGCCCCTGTGAATTTGGAGGCTTGCGATGATAGACGAAATACAGTGGGACATCCTGTATACTTTACTCAAACCATGTTATATTTCGGTTTTGATGAAACCAGGAAATAATACCACAAATGCCCTTGACAATAGTCACCTCCTTCATGATGATCACATTACCACAGAAGCTGCCACAAGTGGGCAATAGAGGCACTTTCAAGAAACTGATAATGTGCTGAAAGTACTTGCAAATAAATGTTCAGAACTTACAAAATCATTTTATACATAAATTAACTTTTAAGTCAAATTATTTGAGATTTGTTTGTTGTTTAACACTGCACTCAGCAATATTCCAGCTATATGATGGCGGCCTGGAAATAATCAAGTCGGACCAGACAATCCAATGATCAACACGTGAGCATCAATCTACGCATATGGGATATGAAAACATGTGTAAAGCAAGAGAGCAAGCCTGGCCACCCAATCCCATTAGTTTCTTCTTACCACATACATGGGTTGCTGAAGAGTGAGTGAGTGTGTTTAGTTTTACACACACTCAACAATATTCCAGCTATATGGCGGCGGTCTGTAAATAATCGAGTCAGGACAAGACAATCCAGTGATCAACAGCATGAGCATCGATCTGCGCAATTGGGAACCGATGACATGTGTCAACCCAGTCAGCGAGCCTGACCACCCGATCCGTTAGTCGCCTCTTACGACAAGCATGGGTTACTGAAGGCTCATTCTAACCCGGATCTTCACGGGTTACACAGTTAGAGAGTCAAAAAGGAACCTAAGACCTCTAATTTTGAACATTGATCTAGACAATGCTTAGCTTGATGAACTGTTTCTTAGTTCAAGGGGAAAATGGTGCTACAATCATGCTTACTGAGGTTAAATTATATTTATTATTAAAAAAAGTAGATATACTTGGTAAACCATACCAGGTAAGAAACAGTTATTCATTCATATAACGAAGTTGATATACCCAACACAGAGTATGCAATAGATGCAACAATTACTCAATACCAAACTTTATACACTAGTGCCTGATGTTCACTGTTATTCAATAGCGAATCAAAAACCAAGAGATCTTGACTAGCAGATCCCGACAGGAAGGAGATGTAAGTCAGTGGCGCACCCATAACACAAAGGTAAGAAACTGGCAAACCACAGATCATCACCTGGACCCTCACCCAGCGGATCCTGTCAGCCAAGAGATGTTAATCTGGGGCACACCCATAACACAGAGGTAAGAAACTGGCAAACCACAGATCATCACCTGGACCCTCGCCCAGCAGATCCTGGCAGCCAAGAGATGTTAATCTGTGGCACATCAATAACACACAGGTAAAGACCTGGCCAATCAGAGGAATCCGGCACATGAGATGCAACACCATGGTGAACCCATAAAGCACAGATATAAGCTACAAAAAAGGACACAAACTGATTAACAGATATTAAGTAACTTCAAAAGCCCAAATAGAGGTAAGTTATAGGAACAATCCCCAGTATTCACAATTAAACCAGCTCATGTTACCATATGCTCCCCCATATCTCTCTGACATGCTTACTCCTTACTCAAACAAACGCTGCCTTCGATCATCCAATCAAGAGCTTCTGTTTGTGCCAAACTTCAGGCTTAAAACTTGTGGAAACCGGACTTTTTCATATGCAGCCCCAACCTTGTGGAATTCACTCCCATACAATCTGAAAGTTTCTGACAGTATTGCCACATTCAAGTCAGGACTCAAAACATACATGTTTTCAATGTATTATTAGGAACTCTATTTGAAATGTACATATTGCTGTATAAATGTGGGAGACGCTTTTAATCTGTCATTGTTGTGCCTTGAGCCTATCTGCTGACGTGGAAAAGGCGCATGAAGAAATCTGCAATATATATATTTAATATATGTACATTAGCAAAAATACCTCAGCCTTGTGCTAATTACCAGCCTAAGAAGCAGATTTCGTTTTCTTCATACTGACTTACTCTGCAAGTAATGTCGGGTCATGCACACATATTCACAACATATATCATATGGAAATTGTATGGTGACACCTACAGGAAATTTGATACTTGCGGCTACCCATTCTCATGTTTCAGGTTTACAGTATTTCTGAATCAATCATAACTGAGATTTAAATTTAACCACTCACTTGAAGAACTTAAATGTAAAGCATTTCAGGTTTACACATACTTCAGCTAAATGTGGGTTCAAGTGTGAAGCCCATTTCTGGTGTCCCCCGCCATGATATTGCTGGAATATTGCTGAAAGTGGCGTAAAACTGAACTCATTCACTCACTAATGTGGGTGCAAAGCCCAAAGTGATGCAGGTCTTACACGTTAACACTACATGAAACCAACGAACCTGGATGTACAAACCAATACACCCAGGTAATAATCACTACAGCAGATCCTGGCACAGTTAACATTGATAAGTCTGTACAGCAAACTATCAGGAAATGAAAAACCCCAAATAGCAGCATTGGAAATCAAAATGTTTGCATTGTAAATCTTAGACTGGACTAACATAATTATTCTAATACCAGAAGTATAATATATTTTAACTATTTACTTTTGGGGGTTGAGTCCCATCGGGGATTGGAACCCACTCTCTCAGAGTGGGGGAGTATTAGTTTTACACCGCCTTTAGCAAATTTCCAGCAATATCACGTCAGGGGACACCAGAAATGGGCTACCCCACCGCCTCTCAGTGATGCACCCATGCATCAGCACACAAAGTCAGCGACCTAACCCACCGCGGCTTCCATTATTACTGAAGTCTGCCAACTAGTCTTGATCAGTACTTTGTGTACCCCTCTGACAAGTGTAAATTGGTATGGCTCGGATGGCTGAAAGCCATGAAATAGAGAATGGCTTTTAGAAAATACGCTGTAGTCAAATATAACAAATGGTATATCTGGGATGACACTTTCTCATTAAATTACAGATTATATGACCTTCTGAAGTACTGTTTGTGCATATGCCTCTAATATAAACTCGTGAAGATCTGGGTTAGAATTGATCTTCCATGACCCATGCGGTCAAGCTAGCTGACTTGGTTGATTTAAGTCATCGTGTCCCAATCACGTAGATCGATGCCTATGCTGTTGATCACTGGATTTTCTGGTCCATACTCAATTATTTACAGACCACCGCCTAATAGCTGGAATATTCCTAAGTGCGGCATAAAACCACCAACCAACCCTTTAAGACATGAACTTATCATATCGTCTATATTCCACAGGTTCGTATACACAATGTGTCTCCTTCATTCATCCATCACAACATACAGCCTTGTAGTTCAATTGCTATTTATCACCAAAAATAAGTGACAGCCTGGTTGCAGCATACAAGTTTTGAAGACTAAATCTGACTAATTCATCTTTTGCATGAAGTGCTATATCCCAATTATCTGACAGAAGTAGAGTAGGTTTCATTGCATTGGTATTCAATTGTATCCGAATGCTATGCCAAAAATTTGCATCAAATATATATTGACCGGTGTGATCCTAAGTAAAGGCACACAATTATATATATGTAAACACATTCCGTTACAATGGCAGGGCCATACTCTACACACCAAAGAGATGTAACCATATCATGTTACTGCTACTGTTGGTGAAAATGATTTCTACATGTGACCTTAGCTGATAATAAATGCTACGTTTGTTGATGTATCTGTGAATTATGCTATTAGTGAAACCTTCCTTTACAGATCAAACTGTCTAAACATACATGTGCACATGTATTTTCCCTTAACTTATTCCATTTCACTGAATGATTGAGTATGCCATGTAACAATAAACTACAGCAGGGCTTATGTTACACATTTTGTAACAGTTCTTTGTCATTCTTGCGTACTAATCTACCGTCATTAATAACATATTAATAAGTTAGACCTAATATCCAATTTGGGTAATCTGGAGGCCTTCCTGACATCGTGACAAAGAGGAGTGTTGTCAACTTTACTCATTGCGAGCCAATTGACATCACTTCCGCTTATCATTTCAGGGCTAAAACGACAAGGAAACAGACGCAAAAACCGAAATACGTGAATGAAGGATTTCCTGCAACTACTTCTAAGGCATTTCAAAGATGATAGCTCTTAATGTGTTTCGTTATACCGTGATATTTGCTTGAATGTCGTAGTGATTCCCATTTCTTCCGATGAATCGACATGACAGTTCATCGAGTGTTGCAGATCGAATCTGAAACCTTTCGTGGTCTTTCGGGAAAGAAGTCTCCAAAAGTTTGATATCCTGTTTCAAGTTCGCTAGACACGCCATTTTCGGTGATAACTGGTACCCTAGTCGGGCACCAGTTTATGTTTATCAATAACAAAACATCCAGAAGGCCTCTCACTTTCCAGAGTTGGTTGCCTTCACATGGTGCGCGCATGCGCAACTAAGGGTCAAGTTAATGTTTGTTTCCACTTCTTGCACTTCCTGTGAGTTATAGCACATTTCTGATTTTATTTTGAGACGAACAAACACAGACACGAGACGGAATTACAGCTTTTCACGATAAAATAGAACACGGATCGGATATTACAAGTATCTTTTGTTTATAAAACAATAATGAGCCGATATTTGTTTGACTACGACTATACATATAGTGGCTTCCTAAGCTCTATATTCATTGGCCTACACTTACAAAAATCAGAATTTCCGAGGCTTCTTATACAGTGACGTGAAACTGCGTTTTTTCTTGGGGTGGGGGGGTGGTGGGGTATTTGTTTTTTTGTTTTCTTTGTTGCGTTCATCCTCATCATTATCCGAGTCATGATTTCCCGGTTCCGTTTTCACTCTATTCTACATAAATCTTCCCTTTCACCACTGAGCATATTCACACACAATCAACAGCTTATCTCCTGCTTAAATGCAAAGTTGTTCCGATGTTCTTTTGACCCGTTTGAGTGATATCTTTGAGATCAGCTGACAAAAATATGAAAATATTAATGATAAAAACATTTTTGAGCAATATCCATACACATACAAATCCAAATTGTTTTGGTTATTGACACGTACGATCAACACAAGTTTGGAATTCAGCAGGAAATATTTGCGTTCAAATATAAAATAAACACGAAACGTTTAGCTGATCGTGCACTTCCTGGTAGCACAAGGCTAGCGTATTCAAAACGTCAATGGTTTTAAATGGGTATTAGTGTTAGTGAAAAGCAGCGTGTTGCTACATCCGTTTGTAATTGTTTACTAGTATCTGGGATATGTCAGTTCATTGAGGCTGCCCTCCCACTTTCGGTTTGCCGAAAGTCGAGTCCCTTTAAATGGTATTTTTCAATGACGATGTGCAGTGTCATTGCCTGGCAGAGATTGACTTTAATCAATAACACATTCGGCCCTCACGCATTGCCACTCATGCATTCTGTGTGAAAATCCTAGTCTAATTTAATTGTAAGGTCTGTGTGCACTGATATGATTCAAGAGATTTGGATGTCGAGGCGAAATGAGTCGCTTGTCGGATGACTAGAAATGGGAGCTACCATTATCAGTATACAATATAGTATTTGGGAAATATGTGGAAGGAATAGAGTTGCTTCCCTTTGATCAAAGGAATTACTCGACGAATAATCCTGAGCATGAGTTTTCCATTGTACGCTTCGGCACCCCTTTGGCAACTGGAACAGGAAAGCAGAAAAAGCAGGAACTTTGCCAAAAAAAATCCGAAATGAACAAGAAACACAAGAAAAGGTGCATTTAAAAAAAAAAAAAAAACAACTCATACGAGAGTCACACAAACTAAAGTGAAGACCTCTAATGTAAAGAAAAATATAGAAACTATTTTTACCTTAGTAGGAATATTGTATACATGTATTACATTGGTGGAGATTTTTACTGTATAATTTTAGCTGTCATTTATTATCCGTGATTCACGCTTTAATTTTGACTTTACTGTGAACACGTTTGTGTTTCCTCTTTGACTTTTGAGTAATTTAAGTTTATCAATATCCGGTGCTTTTTAGCCATTCAGGATTTCTTTTACTTTACGGAGTTTTATGATAGTCAGTTACTGTTTTATAGTCACCTATGTAGTATTTTAAAATGATTTGCCGCGCGTTTGATTCCCGGTTAGCTCTACTGTGTTTTTAAGTTAGTCAGCGCCATACCCAATGCTTGTGGCGTGAGAGAGTATGATTCTACGCCGCTTTTAGCAGTATTCCCACAATATCACGACTGGGGACACCAGGAAATGGGCTTCATTGTACCCATGTGGGGAATCAAACCCGGATCTTCGGCGTGACGAGCGAACTAGACTAACCCACCTCCCCCATGCTCGTGGATGTCACCAAGATGTAATTGTCTCAAATATGCACCACTTCGAACTGTCATTACATGAAACAGACACGAGTCACACGACGTTAAACAGTTGGAATTTACCGTGAGTGGGTTTAGTTTTTCGCTGCACTCAGCATATTCCAGCTATATGGCGGCGGTTAGTAAGTAATCGAGTCTGGACCAGGCAATCCAGTGATCAACAGCATGAACATCGATCTACGCAGATGCGATACGATGACATGTGTCAACCAAGTCAGCTAGCCTGACCACCCGATCCGTTAATCGCCTCTAACGATAAGCATGGGTTAATGAAGACCAATTCTAACGCGGATCTTCACGGCCATTCTGACGTGTGGCCATTTGACTAAGACCGTGGAATACCGTACAAAGCGGTGTTATACACAACACATTCACTCACTAGCTAATGATGGGCTGAAAACGTCTTGAATTCCGCAATTAAACGTGTATACTCAGAATTATATTTTTAGGCACTTAAGGCCCGTCCACCTTACGGGAGGTGAAAAGGCTTAGCAAGGGAAGGGACGGTGGAGTAGCCTAGTGCATGGTAAGAGCGTTCGCTCGTCGCACCGAAGACCCGGGTTCGATTCCCCGCATGGGTACAATGTGTGAAGCCTATTTCTGGTGTTCCCCGCCATGATATTGCTTGAATATTGCTTAAAGTGGCATGAAAATCCAACTCAATCACTCACTCTTCTCACCTTTGACTAATTTAATTGTATTGTTGAATTGTTCATTTTCAGAGCTGAAAAATGTTCTAGGTTTGATCGGCATAGATCAGTGCAGCACGTGCAAACTCGAGAGAATATCCTGATTCAAGAAATTTAAATACCACGTGACAGTGATGATGATTATACTGTTAAAAAGAGTAGAGGATAGTCCATTATTTTTTTTTACAATTTTTTTTTAATTTTTTTTTTTTTTTTTTGGGGGGGGTGTGTGTGTTATTATCTAGGAACCAAGTAAATTGTGTGATTGTTTATGGATTTAGAAAATGATCATTCCATTCACAACGTGTTAAGAATTTCGTGCAAACGTTTTTCATGAAGTAGACGTGAACAGCTATGGTTGGGGTAAACTTCGAAATTTACTGTGAAAATATCAGTATGTTGTTGTACATTTCAGTGACACAAACCAGATAGAAATTTGTTCAGATATGGTTTTAAACTCAGTTAAACGGGGTTTTTTCCGTACACGCGGCGTCTATCACGTTAGCAACAGATGCGTGCAATTCTTATACTGGAAGTTGGACCAGGAAGGACAGAGCATTGTGACGCGATCTCTTGCCGTTCACAGTCAATAATTAGCAGGATATATTCACGATATCAACAAACAAATAACGTTGATGACAGACGTCAATCTGTAAAGGTCTGGAATGGGATCACTCTGACTGCTATCTAGAACACCTTTAGATGTTGTTCACGGACGTGTCACTGGACAGTATAACCTGTCTCACAGTCCCCGAACCACATTATTTTCCCTACTGCCAAGCCCTCACTACAGTGCTAAAGCCCTAAATAAAGCAAGTCTAGATTTCCTCAGGTTCTTAATCTCTGGTCCTTCTAGGGCCCCTTTTCAATTTAAATGGGCCTGTTTGTTACTATCAAAATTATATACATTCAGAGACTAAGCATTAGTCTATGGACAGTACTACCGTGGTACCATCCTGGAAGCACACGTGGTGCCTTCCGCGTTGACATGGACGCCGTATTGTGTTTCAGGACAACGCAAGAACACACAATTGTATATACTTCCTCCAACATGGAGAACATGACCACCGTGCAATGGCCAGCACTCCGGACAGACTGGTCACTCATCTGAGATATCATGTCGAACATGTGTGAGATATCCTTGGACATCCTTGGCGTACGTCACCGTCAGCAACCACCGACCACCCTCAACTAGACTAAGGCTTAGTCTCTGAATATATATAATTTTGATAGTAACAAACAAGCCCATTTACATTGAAAAGAAGCCCTAGGAAGACCTGGGGAAATCTAGACTTGCTTTATTTAGGGCTTTAGCACTGCGGAGAGGGCTTGGCGGTAGGGAAATTAATGTGGTTCAGGGACTGTGAGACAGACTAACCCTCAACGAGCATGGTGTTTCCCTGCAGGAAGAATGGAATGTACCAAGTTGACAATGGGCTAGACTGATATCTAGTCTCTGAAATGAACACTTATTAAAGAATGAATAAATAATAATCATAAAATATAATGAAAACGTGCATTGAGACTTTCTTCATTTTCAGAAACTGTGGGAATTTTGACTTGCCACATATTCTAGACATGGATGAGCCTTCTTGGATATATTTGTTTTAGGGTCTGTATGACAGGTGAGGTGAGGTAAAATGAGGTTTAAACGTCACGCTTAAGAATATTTCGCTTATTTGACGACGTGCATGCGTACGTGTGTATGTGTGGCTGCTTGTACTAGCCCAGACCTAAGCTGGTATTATAGTGCTAGCTCACTGAGATACCATGCCGCAGTTAAGCATGAATATCCCACTCAGACACATTACACTGATTCCGAGCCAACCAGTCCTTGTTGGACTAATCTTATCTTACATGGCAATGCAGGTCTCTCAATCACTGAAAACCAGAATGTTTTCAAACATGTACATATCTATATCTCTCAAACAAACGCTTTCTCAGTTAACATCTGTTGTACATATCCTAGCCTATGTCTGTCACTTGTGTACTTTGTTGTAAGATGAATTGTGTATTTATCTGGAGAGGGCTTTTCTAAATTGTGCCCAATCCTTTTCTTGAATGAATAAAATATGTTTAAAACAAAAGTCCTTGTTGTACCCGTTAATGCCGAGCGCCAGGCAGGGACCAACAAGTACCATATTTTAGCGTCTTTTGATATGACGCATCCTCGTTATGTCCAGGGTATACGTTCCGATAAATCTCCACTATCGGAACGTATCTCCACTATCGGAACGTATACCCTGGACATATCGAGGCTGGGGATCGGGCTCTCTGGGAGGGCGCTCCAACCACTACTTCACGGGGGCGGCTCTGACAGACTAACATTGGACGTTTAATAAGGAGTATGCCTCGTCGAATCTGGAACTGTCTATAGAAACGAGGCAGACTCAAGCGAATCCTACTAATAAGTTTGATTTTTCATGATAAACGACGTGATGCTCAACGACTAATGCAAATCTGAATCAAATGCTTTTGTTGAAATATAAAACATCAGTAGCTGTGACACCTTTTCATTGAATGTCCCCTACCTTTTTAAATGTAAACAAACAGAAGCATCCAAGATGGTGTTTGAGTTATCCTGTCCACGTAAGGAGTTTTATAATGATGGGTTTTCCCAAAAGGATATACTGCACACTGCCAGACAATGTGGCTTCACCACAGAGTCTGAATGGATGTTTAAAAGTATTCACTTCTATTTATACAGTGTTCACAAGACGACTCGTTCAGCAGGTCTATGTTTGTCTTGATGTTACTGACTTGTATAATCACTTGGTGGCCAGTAACACGTTTTGAAACATCACGCTTCCTTTTTCATCCTCGAATACGGCCTTCACTCCGCAGCCATATCACAACGGATGCCTTTCAGCTGAGTATTAAAGACAGCTATTAAGGTAGACACAACACTAACATCAGTTGTAATGTATACTGTACAGATACGTTAAGGATAACCTGATTCTTTCATATTACCATTGTTTATATGTCGAGTTGGTCGGGTGACCTTATTTTGAGTAGTATATCTGAGACATGTTTTCTCGACCCAGTTGCTCTCCTTGTATTCACCGAACGTACCCAAGTTTGAAATGGCAAGTCAAATTTGAAATAGTTGTTTTTGTCTTTAACTGAATTTTCCCTGTAAAATAGTTTTGTCGATTTGGAACAAGCTTGTAAACTTTAAGCCGTCTTATGGTTTAAGGGGATATTGACTTGAGATTCCGAAGTGTGTTACGATGAATTATTGGTCGGTGACGCTATGTTATTTGGTGTGATTTAGTGAAAGTGGTTTTACGCTACCTTTATCTACATTCCATCAGTAGTATGTAGCTGGTCAGCAGATGTACGCCGAGTTTCAATCATGAGAGGAATCTAACCAGGGCATTAGGCGTGAAGAGCAAATGCTTAAACCACAATGCCAAGTCGCTGGTCTAGTTGCATGTGGACATAGTCCATTGGAAACTCGAGTAATGTACAAAGAAGTGTTCTCGCTTACAAGGAAGGTAAACTTAATATTTCAGAATTTAATAAATTCCTTGAGTCAATTGTTGTATCAATATTTAGTGTGCTGGTGGCAAATAATTTAAAGCGAAAAATAATCAGTAAAATGAATACGACTATGTATACAAAGTGACGTGACCTAGATTTGCGTCGAACCGCGACAGTGATCATGTGGTGGGTGTTGATCCAATGATATTCACCTCGGCGAGTGTGTCTGTGTGCGTGCGTGCGTGCGTGCATGTGTGATAGAGGTTAGGTGTTAAGGAGAAAGTGAGCGGGAGGGGTGGGGATGGGGGGAAGCTCTTCTTAAATTTGTGTCGTAGTCATGGGCCTAGTAAATTATTTTTTGTATGCTACTTTTATTACAGTGTGATATCTTCTCTGCATGCACCATTTAAGATGGGCTTTCCCACAACCGTTCTTCTTCTTCTATTACCAGGTAAGAACTTTGGCTTTAAAGCAACTATCACTTTTTACAGGACATGTATTTTAAAAGTTCATTTGTCCATCAACACATCCAAACGCTCACTCACACATCCCTACACTCACTCACACATCCCTACACTAACTCACACATCCCTACACTCACACACACGTCCCAACACTCAATCACACATACCAACACTCACTCACATATCCCTACACTCACTCACACATCCCTACACTCACTTACACATCCCTAAACTCACTCATACATCCTCACACTCACCCACACATCCCTACACTCACACATCCCTACGCTCACACATCCCAACACTCACACATCCCTACGCTCACATATCCCTATACTCACACATCCAAACACCCACACTTCCCTACGCTCAAACATCCCTTCACTCATACACTCACACATCCCAACACCCACACATCTCAACACTCACACATCCCTACACTCACACATCCCTACACTCACACATCCCAACACCCACACATCTCAACACTCACACATCCCAACACTCACACATCCCAACACCCACACATCTCAACACTCACACATCCCTACACTCACACATCCCTACACTCACACATCCCAACACCCACACATCTCAACACTCACACATCCCAACACTCACACATCCCAACACCCACACATCCCTACACTCACACACTCACACACACACACATCCCTACGCTCACATCCCAACACTCACACAGCCCTACTCTCTCTCTCTCTCACACACACACACATCCCTACGCCTACATCCCTACACTCACACATCCCTACACTCACACATCCCTACGTTCACACATCCGAACACTCACACATCCCTACCTTCATACAGCCATACGCTCACACATCCCTACACTCACATACACATCCCTACGTTCACATCCCAACACCCCTACTCTCACACAGCCATACACTCACACAACCCTACACTCACACAGCCCTACACTCACACACACATATCCCTACGCTCACTCACACAGCCCTACACTCACACAGCCCTACACTCACACAGCCCTACACTCACACACACATATCCCTACGCTCACTCACACATCCCAGCACTCACTCAGCCCTACTCTCACACAGCCCTACACTCACACAGCCCTACGCTCACTCACACAGCCCTAAACTCACACACCCTATGCGCACGCACAATCACGCGCGCACACACATCAGGTACTATGACCGATTCACTTTGTTTCCTATTGGTCCAGCTTAATGATATCCCAGAAATCCCAACTTTAGCACTTGAAAGGCATAAACAACGTGTGACTGACATGGTGGTGACATGATCTGGTTTCTTGTAGGCGCCATACATTGTCTTGAGCTGAAGTATCTCCTCACCCTTCCCATGAGTGTTGAACACGAATTCGAAGTCAAATACTCGGCATCAAAAGCTGTTGATGCTGTGCTTCAGAAGCCTGGATTAAACGCCACTCTTTACCCCTCCAAACAAGGCGTTTTCAGAATACCTGGAAATGAATCTTATCTGGTCGGAGGCAAAGAAAATAAAGCCCTCATTTTGAGTCTCACCACGCACGATGATGTCATCATTGGTTCTTTCGAAGCCACGGTTATGTGCTCAGCCCATTGGGCAGAACACTATGCATACCTTGCCTTGCCATTCTCAGCCCTAGGAACTCACTACATCATCTCAACATACACACCGGGAGAAGTAGGACGTGCCCAGATGGTCATTATCGCATCTGATGACGACACTGATGTCACTATCGCACTGCAGTCCTCCAAACCTGTTACGGTTCTGGATAACACTTACACAAAGGGGCAGATAATTCAGTTGACCTTAAACCAGTACCAGTCATTGTCGTTTGAGGCTTCGTCCGATATTACTGGAACCGTTGTCCGCAGCTCCAAGGCTGTGGCAGTGTTTTCTGGGAACTTCAGAAATCGTTTCCCTTTCAACGCAGTTTTCAATAATACAAGAGACCCAACGTTCGAGCAACTTCCCCCCGTGTCCCTGTTAGGTCAGGTGTATGTGGTTCCTCGAATACCCTCTTGTGTTTACCAAGAAGCTAAGTTCATCGCTGCGTTTGAAGGAACAGTGCTTCGTGTATCTCAAACGGCTGCCAGCATCACCCTCAGAGAAGCAGATCAGACCTCTTTAGAAGTAAGACAGAGTCTCTATCTATTTGCCAGCAAACCTATCCTTGTCACGACAATGTGTCGATGGAAAACGGGTCTTAATCCAACGTCTTTGACATTTATACCTCCCGTTGAGCGATACAAAAAGGTTTACCCTGTTCCAAGTCCACACACGGGTGACGCAACATTTCACCTCACGATCATTGCCTGTTATTCTGGCAAAACTGGATTAACTATAGACAAGAATCTTCTTACGGGAAAAAAGTACCTTCAGTGGGAAAGAGTTGAAAACTTTGTTGTCACCACAATGGCGGTACCTAATGGCCAACACGTGGTGGAAGCGGATTCACCCTTTGCGTTGATTGGCCTGGTGTATGAAGCAAGTGTAACCTCCTCGACAAGTCAGTTGTGTTTGGGATTTGACTTGGAACAAACAGGCGACAGTTTCTGTTCTCTGTCTCTCACATCACCAGGAAAGACCACTACAGGTGAGTGAGTGAGTTTAGTTTTATGCCGCTTTTAGCAATAGTCCGGAAATATCAAGGCGGGGGACACCAGAAATGGGCTTCACACATTGTACCCATGTGGGGTATCGAACCCGGGTCTTCGGCGTGACGAGCGAACGCTTCAACCACTAGGCTACCCCACCGACCTACCACTAAAGGTAAAGTGTCCCCAAACCGGACACTGTGTGTTAGTGGTGAACGTTTACTTTAAAGTCGATTTCAGTTAGGATAAGGCTTCTCATTTATTTTTACAATGTGAAGATAGATTTTTGGGCATATTGATTAAATACAGTAAAAACACCGTTGTGTCGAAGTTGAAGGGACCAAAGTGACTTCGAGTTATACAGTGTTCGAGACAACCGCGAAATTGTCGAGTAAAGAAAGAATAAACAGGGACAACATTTTGCTTTGAGGTAAAGATGAATTCGACACATCAGCTTTCGACACAACAGTGTTGTACTGTTGATATATATTGATGTTTTTGCCTGTTTACAAAATATGAAATATACTATATATTAATATACTTAATATAGGGCGATGGGGTAGCCTAGTAGTTTAAGCGTTCGCTCGTCACTCCCCCGAAGACCCGGGTTCGATTCGCCCATGGGTACAATGTGTGAAGCCCATTTCTGGTGTCCCCCGCCGTGATATTGCTGGAACATTGCTAAAAGCGGCGTAAAACCAAACTCAGTCAGTCATGATCATCACATTGTTACAGTAATTAAATTGCAAATGATACCATAACCGAGCAAGTAGCAGACTCAGTGATAACTTATTGTTACTTGATTGAAATTTAAAAATAAAATATTTGGACATTTTCTGCGTCCCTGTGGGTGCGACAATAAATTTTGCTGTGTCCATTGTCAATTTTTATGCGTATAGGACGCCAGAATTCGCATCCTGTAAATTCCTGGTGGATATAAACTACATCATTTCTGGTGTCCCCCGCCGTGATATTGCTGGAATATTGCTAAAAGCGGCGTAAAACGAAAACTCTGATTACATAGGTATAACTATTCTTGTAAATATAGAATTACAGTACCGATTATGCTTGCCCGGCATAACGGTATAGTGGCCAGTGTGAAGAAACCTCAAGAAATTCTATAGAATATGCAGCGGCATACTTCTTTCACTTATTCTTCGAATTTGATTTGAAATGCCTGTGTCTTTTACTCGTTTCCCTCCAAGAACAAGGTTCTTGAAAGACATTTAGAAGTTGGACGAACATGGATAGGAATTAGCCCTGAAACGTCGTATTAAAGAATAAGAAGAAGTTGTAATAACGTGTCATGTATCCAAGAAATAGACATCATATTCGGACTCATAGCCTCGAAGGATATCAGAGAGAAAAACATGGCGTTATGCATTCTGAATGTTGCTTTCAACGTGTTACATTGCAAACCAGTTCTTCACACATACCCCCGACAGACACACCAATGCCAGATGCAGCGCAAAGCAGTTCTTCACACATGCCACCGACAATCACGTCAGAGCAAGAGACGTCCATGCCAACATATGCTGTTATCCTCGTTGTTGTCGCTGCTGTTGCTGTTGTTGCTGTTTTCATATTGGCTGCAGTTATAATCAGTAAGTTAATGCACCGGTCTTTGCGGTTCGTATATGTTTTATGGAGCAACAGGAAACGTTTTAATTTGAATCTAACCACATTGACATCGTGGTACTTCGTGGCATATGTAGGCTGAAAACATGCCTGCTTTAATCAATTATAATTTTATTTTAATTGATTATTTTCAATTCACCGCCATGACAACAAGTGCGAAACAAACAAACCAGTACTTAGTGGAGGGTGATGTCTGATAACATGCATGATTTATGACAAGTCTACGTGCTTTTCAGTACAGAGACACAGACCACCATCTTCCGACTCCAGCAATTTGACGGATTCCACCTACGCATCCGTGGATGCTATTTCTCGTACGTATAGTCATCGTACGCGTGTAACCGAGGATTGAGTTTTACTAGAATATAGGCAGGGTATGAAACTCCCAAACATTTCCAGACCACAGAGCTATTTAGATGTAAAACATGCCAGCCCTGACCAAAACTTACCTGCCCACAAAAAATACCAATTCCCTTAGTATATATTTTTTTTAAACTTGTAAAATATTGAAAAAACTAATGCCAATGCACAAAAAAAATTAACTGTTTATTTCAGATTTGTGTGTGAATTAATAATGATTTATTATCCTAAAATATGAGGAATATCTTCATATACATGTCTAAATTTTAACGCGACCGTCGGGCAGGTAAATATGAGAATCTGGCGGTCCGTGTTGAAAATAACCCGTCCCGGGCGGTCGGGCAGGCAGGTATTTTGAACGCTGATATAGGCACGCCAATTTGCTTATAGCGACGTATTGACGAGGAAGCTGAAGTCAAGTAATGAATATACACTACTACTTCTACTACTACTACTACTACTTCTGCATGCTGCTGCTTCTGCTACTACTACTACTACTGGGGCGGTGGGGTAGCCTATTGATCTAAGCGTTGGCTCGTCACGCCGAAGACCCGGGTTCGAATCCCCACATGGGTACAATGTGTAAAGCCCAGTTCTGGTGTCCCCTGCCGTGATGTTGCTGAAATATTGCTAAACGCGGCGTAAAACCAAACTCAGTCAGTCAGTCAGAGTCTACTACTACTACTACTACTACTACTACTACTACTACTACTACTACTCTCTCTCTCTCTCTCTCTCTCTCTCTCTCTCTCTCTCTCTCTCTCTCTCTCTCTCTCTCTCTCTCTCTCATTCTCGATTGCACATCAGATCGTATGCACACTACTAAAGAAATCTTAATATTTTCACATGCATGATTATATGTTTCAGGGTTCGATGACCTACATAACACTGTACCAACTGACTCAAGAATGTCCTCAGGATCACTCTCGCCCTCCTACATCGAAATTATTCATTTACCGACAGGTTGGTAATTATGTTTACTGTAAGTTTTCTCATTGTTTTTGTATAAGAGGGCACACATTAAGGATCTGAAGTGGCCTAGATTTCGACTTTCAGTATTTTTGCCCTAAATCAGTGCTTCCGTGTGTTTTTCAGTGCTTAACCTTTGTCAACACTTCTTTCCAGGTGCAGATGTCCCCACAGATGGAAATGCGTAATCTAAAAATAAGGGTCGAAACCATAACCATTTCTTAAAAAAACCGTGCACACCACAAATACAGTAACTGACATCATGAGCATCGATCTACGCATCTGGAATGCATGACATGTGTCAACCATGTGTCAGCGAGCCTGACCACCCGATGTAACGACAAGCATGTGACGATCAAGCATAAGACCCAGGGGCCCGTTTCACACTGCGATCGTAGCGCTACGACTGTTGTAAGTCTATGTTGAAGTATAGGAGTTACGATCACCTTAGCGCTACGATAGCTTTGTGAAACGGGGCCCAGATCTGCACGGATAGTTTGGCATACTGTATACTCTTGTATGCGCTATGAGCACGCCCCAATGGAGTTTAGCGCCATATAAATGGACATTATTATTATTATTATTATTATTAGTAGTAGTAGTAGTAGTAGTAGTAGTAGTAGTAGTAGAAGTATACTGCTTTCTACTGTTATCAGTACCCGTGAAGGTCCGGGTTAGAATGAACCTTCAGTAACCCTTGCTTGTTGTAAGAGGCGACTAACGGGATCGGGTGGTCAGGCTCGCTGGCCTGCTTGACACATGTCATCGTATCCCAATTGCGCAGATCGATGCTCATGCTGTTGATCACTGGATTGTCTAGTCCACACACTCACACACTCACTACTGTTATCAGTTATTTTCAAACCACCATCATGTAGACACGCTATTGCCAAGTACGGCATTAATCAAGAAACAAACAAAAAAGTACTTATTGGTGTCTGATAACATGCGTGCTTTAATCAATTATTTTATTTTATCTGTTGATTAAGAATCTGATGTGCACGGATACTGTATCATATTAGTTTCTACAGTGATAGATTTTATTTGACATACTGTGAATTTGTTGCATCATGTTCCCATATAATGTGAAATGTGATATATCTTTTTTGTTACATATCTTTTTTTCGTATATTTTTCTTGCGGGGGCGATGGGGTAGCCTGATGGTCAATGCATTCGCTCATCACGCCGAAGACCCGGGTTCGATTCCCCACATGGGTACAATGTGTGAAGTCCATATATGGTGTCCCCCCGCCGTGATGTTGCTGAAATACTGCTAAAAGCGGGGTAAAACTCACTCACTCACTCTTAATATTGTATTATACATTAACATGTACATTACATTCTGTATTTGTGTGTGTGACACATTAATAAACATCCCTTCATTATTAAACACCTGTGTGACACATCAATAAATATTCCTTCATTACTAAATACCTGTGTGACACATTAATAAACATTACATCATTCATAAACACCTGTGTGGTACATTAATAAACATTCATTTATTACTAAACACCTGTATGGCACATTAATAAACAATCCATCATTACTAAACATCCGTGTGACACATTAATAACCATTCCATCATTACTAAACACCTGCGTGTGACATATTAATAACCATTCCATCATTACTAAACAGCTGTGTCGACACATTAATAACCATTCCATCATTACTAAACACCTGTGTTGCACATTATCATTACTAAACACCTGTGTGGCACATTATCACTACTAAAACACCTGTGTGACACATTAATAACCATTCCATCATTACTAAACACCTGTGTTGCACATTATCGTTACTAAACACCTGTGTTGCACATTATCGTTACTAAACACCTGTGTTGCACATTATCATTACTAAACACCTGTGTGGCACATTATCCATTAATGACTAAACACCTGTGTGACACATTAATAACCATTCCATCATTACTAAACACCTGTGTTGCACATTATTATTACTAAACGCCTGTGTGACACATTAATAACCATTCCATCATTACTAAACAGCTGTGTTGCACATTATCGTTACTAAACACCTGTGTTGCACATTATCATTACTAAACACCTGTGTTGCACATTATCATTACTAAACACCTGTGTTGCACATTATTATTACTAAACACCTGTGTGACACATTAATAACCATTCCATCATTACTAAACAGCTGTGTTGCACATTATCACTTACTAAACACCTGTGTTATTAAGAACCATTCCATCAGTACTAAACACCTGTGTGACACATTAATAACCATTCCATCATTACTAAACAGCTGTGTTGCACATTATCGTTACTAAACACCTGTGTTGCACATTATCATTACTAAACATCTGTGTGGCACATTATCATTACTAAACACCTGTGTTGCACATTATTATTACTAAACACCTGTGTGACACATTAATAACCATTCCATCATTACTAAACAGCTGTGTTGCACATTATCGTTACTAAACACCTGTGTGGCACATTATCATTACTAAACACCTGTGTGGCACATTAATAACCATTCCATCAGTACTAAACACCTGTGTGACACATTAATAACCATTCCATCAGTACTAAACACCTGTGTTGCACATTATCGTTACTAAACAGCTGTGTGGCACATTATCATTACTAAACGCCTGTGTGGCACATTAATGACCATTCCATCAGTACTAAACACCTGTGTGGCACAATATAATTACTAAATACCTATGTGGCACATTATCATTACTAAACACCTGTGTGGCACATTATAATTACTAAACACCTGTGTGACACATTAATAACCATTCCATCGTTACTAAACAGCTGTGTTGCACATTATCATTACTAAACACCTGTGTGGTACATTATCATTACTAAACACCTGTGTGGCACATTAATAACCATTCCATCAGTACAAAACACCTGTGTGGCACATTAATAACCATTCCATCATTACTAAACAGCTGTGTTGCACATTATCATAACTAAACACCTGTGTGACACATTATCATTACTAAACACCTGTGTGACACATTAATAACCATTCCATCATTACTAAATGTTGCACATTATCTGTGTGTGCACATTATCATTACTAAACACCTGTGTGGCATATTATAATTACTAAACACCTGTGTGACACATTAATAACCATTCCATCATTACTAAACAGCTGTGTTGGACATTATCATAACTAAACACCTGTGTGACACATTAATAACCATTCCATCATTACTAAACAGCTGTGTTGCACATTATCATTACTAAACACCTGTGTGACACATTAATAACCATTCCATCATTACTAAACAGCTGTGTTGCACATTATCCATACTAAACACCTGTGTGGCACATTATCATTACTAAACACCTGTGTGGCACATTATAATTACTAAACACCTGTGTGACACATTAATAACCATTCCATCATTACTAAACAGCTGTGTTGCACATTATCATTACTAAACACCTGTGTGGCACATTAATAACCATTCCATCTTTACTAAACAGCTGTGTTGCACATTATCATTACTAAACACCTGTGTGACACATTAATAACCATTCCATCAGTACTAAACAGCTGTGTTGCACATTATCATAACTAAACACCTGTGTGGCACATTAATAACCATTCCATCAGTACAAAACACCTGTGTGGCACATTATCATTACTAAACACCTGTGTGGCACATTATCATTACAGCTGATTCGAAACTTGGTGGTCGCTGGTTCGATCCAGTCGTTTGTCGAGTCATGCCAACAGACGTTAAAAGGTTGTACTTGTTACCCTGCCTGGCTCTCGGCTGTAAGGGGATGGTACAAGGACTGGTTGGCTAGGCGTCAGTCCGTTCACTCTGGGTATGTTAAACTCCAAGGGCAGGCGACTAACGGGATCGGGTGGTCAGACTCGCTGACTTGGTTGACACATGTCATCGTATCCCAATCGCGTAGATTGATGCTCATGCTGCTGATCACTGGATAGTCTGGTCCAGACTCGATTATTTACAGACGGCGCTGCCATATAACTGAGATATTGCTGAGTACAACTAAACTCACTTATTCGCCTATATATCACTGGAATATTGCAACGAGCGGCAACAAAACTCACTCAGTCATGACATTCAGACGTCTATATAATGTTAATGGTAATTGTGCATGCAGCTTTGACCTGCGTCAGAAACACACATTATATCTCCAGGATGTTCCATCATTTTTCCTTGACGGAATGTTCTTTAAATGTGTGTAGCTGCTTTGTCGGCTTTTGAAACAGGTGTGCTAGATTTTGTTGTTGACAATGTACCCAAGCCGTTCCTCTCGCGATGAGGATATGACCGACAATGTTGTATATGTAATCGACTGGGTCTTACTCTTCATCGTGAAAAAAGGAAAAAACCTACTTTAGAATAGATGCAGGATGAACACAGGTGTTTCCTTCTGAGCGTGTACTGACAATTGATCAAGTATGACCTTTAACCAAATTAAACGCACCCATCTGTACAATGGTCGGATTTGTGTTTGTTTTGTTTGTGCTGCACCTTTACCTGGTTCACATACACATCCGGGCTACAATTGGTCTTCAGGAACCCATGCTTGTCGTAAGAGGCGATTAACGTGATCGGGAGGTATTCCTGGGAAGTAGAATGGGTAGTTTTGCTGTAACCCCTTTGATGTCGGGGTTATGTGATTTTAAGGGATTAAAATACTGGGTGATGTAAAAATCTGGAATGTGAAGCGAAATGAGAATTGGGTGGTCAGGCTCGCTGACTTGGTTGGCACAAGTCATCGCATCCCCATTGCGGAGATCGATGCTCATGATGTTGATCACTGCCCAGACATACAGACCGCCGCTAGCTTGACTATTGCTGCGTTAAACAACCAATCAATTTCTGCAAAATTAAAAATTAATGCCTCTTTCCGTCATAATCATCCCTCTTTCGGTCATAATTGCCCCTCTTTCGATAACACTGAATGGTCTGACTGAGCCCGTGTTCGAAATATGCAATTAACATGTTGGAAAGCGCACATAAAATCTAGAAATCATCACCATGTTGAATAGCTGAATACCAACGAGAGAGAAACAAATAAATGAACTCAGGAAATTCAAGTGTTTCTTTAATATTTTCCAGTTTTCATCACAGCTTTGAATAGCGCTGTAGAAGATCTGAGAATAAATAAAGGAACACTGCCATAAAGTGGTGTTCCCTTATTTGTTTCCCTCAGCATATTATTGTCAAGAGTCAAGAGTTATACAGTCAACACCTGTGCTGTCAATAGTTTGACATGTGTCATATAATAATCTGTATAACTTTTTTTAAAAAGCACAAATCCTAGCACATCTAGAACTCAATTTGTTTGTTTGGTGTTTAACGCCGCACTCAACAATATTCGATCTATAATGGATGCGATCTGTAAATTAATGAGTCTGGACCAGAAAATCCAGTGACCAACAGCATGAGCATCGATTTCGATCTGTTGTGATATGATGCAATATGTGTCAACAAAGTCAGTGAGCCTCTTACAAGCACAATTCAAACCCGGATCTTCAAGGGGTTCTGGAATTCGTACTCACATTAGTACCAGAACTTGTTCTTTACTCAGAATGTGTAATTGCAGATAGAACACATGACAATTTTCTGAAATACTGTGTATTTATAAAAATCGTACATTGGAGCCTATGAGGTGGGTTAGCCTAGTGGTTAAAGCGTTCGCTCGTCACGCCTAAGACCCGAGTTCGATTTCCAACATGAGCATAATGTGTGAAGCCAATTTCTGGTGTTCCCCGCCGTGATTTTGCTAAAAGTGGCGTAAAACTAAACTCACTCACTTTATTTCTTTGGGGCGGAGGGGTAGCTTAGTGACTATTAAAGCGTTTGTCACGCCGAAGACCCAGGTTCGATTCCCCACATGGATGCAGTGTGTTAAGTCTCTTTCTGGTGTCCCCCAATGATATTGCCAAAACTGAAATCAAACAACACTCATTCTGTATTTCTTTTCATAATTTAGTCATCACTTACAACGTTACCCGTGAAGATCCGGGATAGAATTGGTCTACAGGAACCCATGCTTGTCGTAAGAGGCGACTAAAGGGGTCGGGTGGTCGAACTCGCTGACTTGGTTGACACATGTCCTATCCCAATTGCTTAGATCGATGTTCATGTTGTTGATCACTGGATTGTCTGGACCAGACTCGATTATTTTCAGACCGCTGCCATATACTTGGGATATTGCTGAGTGCGGCGTTAAACAACAAAACTTACAACGTACTTTAAACATCTTTAGCGTTTAGAATTACCGATGTTGTACAAAGAGCGCTTCGTTTCATCTTCAGCTGGGTGCCTGTATTTTGAGGGGCGGTGGGGTAGCCTAGTGTTAAAGCGTTGGCTTGTCACGCCGAAGACCCGGGTTCGAATCCCCACATGGGTACAATGTGTGAAGCCCATTTCTGGTGTTTCCCCGCCGTGATGTTGCTGAAATATTGCTAAAAGCGGCGTAAAACCAAACTCAGTCAGTCAGTCCTGTATTTTGAAAGGCTCATAAAATATATTTGAAGAAAACTGTCATGAACAAAACGCTGGAGTTGTTATCCAAAGGACAAAAGGCAAGTTTTGAAAATATTTATTGACATTATACAGCTTTCATATTAACTAATGCATTGTTTGTGCTTCAAATTGTCGATAAGTACATGTATACATATATTACACTGCTGCCTTGTAAAAAGACAGAAACCCATGACAAGTGAGTGGGGTAAGTGAGTTGCTTACATCAATATTACCGTTATGATGATACGGGCGCGTCAGTCTATAGGGAGGTGATCCGAAAAGAGGCCAAGGCAGAGAAGCCTGGTTTCCGGTGTCTGCTGCGCTACGCTTCGACACGCAGTACCGCCCGGTCACGGTATCGTGCCGACAGATCAGACCATGGATCATTAATCGAACCCATGACCAGCGGATCATTCCATGACTAAGAGATGCTATCAAGAATAATACCTGTACATTAAACTGTGATATATATATACATACGCATACAACTACGATAAATCTAATATTATGTATACACGTGAGAACTGTAAACATGCAACGGAGAGCGTAACAGTCTTCTGTTGTCCCGTATTGTCCATGTACATGATTCCACTTGAGATATACATCTGATTAACGCATCTACAATGACACCATTCATAACTCTCGACACTCCTGGGCCTAGATTTTCGAAGCTCTCTTAGCGCTAAGATAGTCGTAAGTGCCATACATTAACATTAACTTACGACTATCTTAGTGCTAAGAGAGCTTCGAAAATGTAGGCCCTGGATCCCAGAACAATGTAATCTGGACCAGGGTCTCCTTTCACAAAGACACTAAGGTAACAATATTGCAATGTTAAAGAATGGGAGTTAAGGTTGACCTAAGTAAAGGTTGCTTCGTGAAAGGAGACCCTGGTCATTCTAGGTTTGGGTTGGATTCCTGTGTCATGTAATCTCTATTTTCTGGGAACCATCCACATCGTGTGTGTATGACCACTTCACCGGCATCAATCAGTCTCGTTTCACAGCCAATTCCAATGGGACAACTTCATATCATGAAGCCCACGAACATGTTTTAAGTGTCACATATTGTCTGAGCACAAAATGTTTTTATGTTGCAGCCTCGTTCACATTAAGTTTCCAGCGATTTCTTTTCAAATCAGGACGTTAATTTAGTTACATGACGTATTTCTCTTCACAACCTTGCAGACGATTTCCGGTAGATGTAAGATGACACCCGGCCGCCATGTTCGTGGATCAGCGGAAGCACCCCGTTCTCCCTCTAGTGGTAGGAATTTGAAATTTTGCACTAAGGTTGCCACGTACATGAACAAACGGCTTTTCGCGAAGCTCTCGCCTGGACATTGTCTCTTGCCAATACCGAAAGGGATGGATCTGTAAGGTAATATTTCAAGGCTATTATATAATATCATAAATCATTAAGCAGCATGGTGTGTCAGTTTTTGCTTTATCAAGTTTAAAATCATCGTCAATACTAAACGGATCTGCGCACCAGTTTTCTCCATCACCCGACAAGACAATACGTATGGCCGAAATATAGTGACGTAGTTAAATATTACCATCCAATCAAAAGACTGTCTGGTTCCAGAGCGAGGGAAACTTCGTGAGCATTCTGACTAATGGACGCTCAGTTAGAGTTCTGGAACCTGAGATGTAGTCACTGACTGAATTTGTTTTTTAGGATAGTTGTACGCCCTCCTTTCTTTGATGAAACAATGAAAGGGGATCTTACTTTCTCCTCAAGGGATGGTCTTTGGGCAGTAGCCGACCAGCAGAGTCCAGAAACCTTTCTGGACGGAACACCCAAGGGTCTTCGTAGACGCGGTGGTCATGGTGGATGTTCCACAAGTTGGCCACCAGCTGCAACATGGAAGTGAATGGTAGCGAAAAGGACGTCAGCAATATGTGAGCATTAATGTTAGCTTCATGGGCAAGAATATGCACAACAGCGTCAGCTATCAGCAACAATGTCAGCAACGTGGGCAACAGTTTCAGGTTCATGGCCAACAGCATCAACTTTAAGGATAACAACGTCAGCTACAGACATCAACGTCAGTGAGTAAATGAGAATGGTTTTACGCCGCTTTTAGGAATATTCCTGCAATATCACGGCGGAAATCGGCTTCACACATTGTACCCATGTGGAAATCGAACCCGGGTCTTCAGCGTGACGGGCGGGCGCTTTAACCATTAGGCTACCCCACCGCCCCTATCAACGTCAGCAATACATGTATATGAACAACAACGCTGCATACACTAGCAGTTACTGATTAAGAGACCATCTTACGAGTACAAACAGCCCCTTACTATAAAATTTGTAAATTCCATCGTTTAAATCAAACGACATCATGCTTAATCGGACACGGACCATTTCAGGATTTTTGAAGCGCTATTATCGATTCACTTCAGAAACCTCATCTTTAAGAAGCACTAGTGTATCAAATATATCACTCAACATACCAGGGTGCCTTTGGGTATCGTGTACCCTCTTGTCTCTATGTCACCGCGGCTGAGATGGGGAATACTGAAAGGGGTATGGCTGGTGTATCGCAAGGCCTCTACAATGACGGCCTCGAGGTATGGCAGCTGCGGACGGTCTTCTAGAGTTACCTCCCTTGAACCGATCTGCGTCTGAAGCTCATTGTACATTTTCTGTTGTACGTCCTGGTTGTTGATGAGGCTGAGCATTGTGCCAAGCAGGGCCCCACGTGTTGTCACGTAACCTAGCAACAGAAATTTCAGATAAGTAAAAGTCTGTCATACAGTCCCAGACGCAAATATATCCAATACAGCCAGTGACAGAGTGTGGTCTGCGGTTTCAACATGAACATGAAGAAGGGACGTTCGGGTAGCCTTGTGGTTAGGGCGTTCGCTCGTCCCGGGTTCGAGCGTGAGTAAGTTTAGTTTTACGCCGCCAATATTCCAGCTATATGGCGGCGGTCTGTAAATAATCGAGTCTGGACCAGACAATCCAGTTATCAACAGCATGAGCATCGATCTGCGCAATTGGGAACCGATGACACGTGTCAACCAAGCCAGCGAGCCTGACCACCTGATCCCGTCAGTCGCCTCTTACGACAAGCATGGGTTACAGAAGGTACATTCTAACCCGGACCTTCACGGGTACCCCGGGTTCGATTCCCCACATGGGCACAATGAGTGAAGCCCATTCTGGTGTCCCTCGCCGTAACATCGCTATCGGTGTTACACAAGCAAAAAATATTTACGTGCATTACACAGCATGTTGGTATTAGCGAAATTCAGATAAAAATACTGCAATCATGGGTTTTTAAGGTTCTACAATCTTGATAAAAAAATACTCTTGACGCCAAGTTTAAGCTTGAATGGGACGAAATCCATTCAAACTCATACAAAAGAGGCTTATCAGGGAGTCGCCATATATATATATATATATAGTGCAGATATAAAGGAGATTTGACAAGAAGAAATATCTGGACTTATACACCTGCAGAAATCGTTAACCTCCCAACAGTCCAGCCGTAGCACGTGCTAATCAAGAACCACGGAGGAATGTGGGGCTGGTTGGAATGCACGAGCAGCACGAGAAAAATGTGACCCTGTGACAGTCATGACAAACGCTTATTACTCTATAACGTTAATGATGGCTTGTACATCGAATTGACACGTCAACCTCCGTTTATACCTCTGAAAACTATAAGACGTGCACTAAACATTGAACACCGGGTATAGTCGATTTCATGTGACTGTGCAAAGTTTGATTTTGTTGCAGTTATTAGATTTTGTGTTAGTGAGCAATTCATCGGTCTCAAATGGAAGTCAAACGGACTATAATCGCTACAGCACAGGTAGACTTGCACAATTCTTTAAGGTAATACATAATTAACAGTTTAAATGATAATTTCTAAAAAAAATAATAAATACCAGACTGGGGTCCTGTACTTAATCTAGATTTGCCTCTCAAAGGATAGAATTACTATACATCCATGGGCTTAGCATACAGTACAAACTGTAATTCATAATAGATAATCTCTGGGTTCCTTTTTAATATATAATTAAGATAATAAAATAATTAATTTCAGAGACTAAAGTTGGTCTAACATGTCTGTAACACATGGGCTTGTAACGTCAAAACCTGGCATTACGTCATTTATTGTCACGACACAGCACTATAGGATACATAACCTTCACTCCGGAATGTGCTGGGGCCAAGTCAGAAATGCATATTCATGAGAATCAATTCTATGTTTATAGGGCGGTGGGGTAGCCTATAATGGTTACGCTGAAGACCCGGGTTCGAATCCCCACTTGGGTACAATGTGTGAAGCCCATGTTGGAGGAGAGCGGAAGGTCGCGGGTTCGATCCCCGACCGCGTCATACCAAAAGACGTTAACATATGGTACTTGTTGGTCCCTGCCTGGCGCTCGGCATTAATGGGTACAACAAGGACTGGTCGGCTCGGAGTCAGTATAATGTGTCTGAGTGGGGTATTCATGCTTCACTGTGGCATGGTATCTCAGTGGGCTAGCACTATAAAACCAGCTGCAGTCTGGGCTAGTACAAACAGCCGCACATACACATACGCACGTCGTCATATGAGCGAAATATTCTCAAGCACGACGTTAAACCCAATTTCACCTCACCTCACCCATGTTGGAATATTGCTGAAAGCGGCGTAAAACCATACTCACATACTCACTTTAAGTTTATGTCATGACTATAATCTATTGATGTCCTTTGTAAGACATTGTGCCATATTAGGAACTGACGAGCGTATGAAGTGATAACATGACCAAGCACCGAGAGTGAGTGAGTTTACATGCTTTTAGCAGTATTCCAGAAATATTACGACGGGGACACCAGAAATGGGCTTCACACATTGTAGCCTACCCATGTGGGGAATCGAACCCGGGTATTCGGCGTGACGAGCGAACGATTTATCCACTAGACTACCCCACGGTCCCCAAGCACCGAGAGGAGAGGCTTCAAAGGCAACATGGATATTCAGTGAACACCCCTCTGTTTCACCAATACATGTATTAACACATCCTGTTACAGGTTCACTGATGACCACAATACTGTATGTGTAATTTCAGAGTTTTCAAATTGTTACTGCTTTCAATTCGTGTGGACGTAAAATATATGGTCACTATGGCATTGGTCCTCGCTGCAAGGCTGTACTGAAGGCTAAGCCATGGATATATACATGTAGTAATTATATCCGAAATATTATCTAGAGGCCAGTCTAGATAAGCGGAGAATACAATGGTTATTAATGTTTATTTAGAAATATTTATTTAAACTGTTAATTATTACCGTATATACCTGTGCAAGTCTACATTGGACCCACCTCTTCTTACTGCGACTCAGTGTGTGTGACGTTTACAATCAAGACTATTTATAAATTAACAATGTCATTCTTACGTACTATAAATATATAAAAGAAGAAAAAGTCTCCTCCATGCGCAATCAATTTAAGAAAACTAGTGACAAGAAACACTATTTTATATGGCTAATCATATCACCAGACGGTTTATGGAACCCAGCAACACTAAAACATCCAGACAAACTTGAATGTTGTCATACGACCCTGTCTCAATTTACGCCAGTTCCAACATAAACTTCAAACAACTATACCCTGTGATCCATTACGCGGATAGGATATCGTAACAGTGAAACCTATCTATCCACCGACAACGTATGCTGATTTGACACATTTGTATAACAACATGAACCAGCTCAACCGTACTCCTGGTTGCAAATCAACACTGTCACACACCACGAACAATGAAATTGTTTTGCGAAAAACCTTGTTTATTTTTAATGGCTAGGTACTGCCCTTTCTTACCTGCATTGAGAAAGTCCAGTATGAAACACTTGATTTGGCTGTCGGTGATCTCGGCCTTCTTGCCTCCTACCCCGCGAGCTTGTTCGGTGAGAACGTTGTATATGAAACCTTGTCCCAGCTCGGCATTGAATTCGTTCTGTCGGGCCAAGAGTAATATAATAATACGTGCAGGCAAAGAGAAGGCAAAAGAGAACACCCCATATAGTTGCGGAGTTGGTATTTCAGTTACATCGTGGAGTGTCGCCTTTATGTTCGAGGTAAGTCCGAGGTGACGGTGGTGTACATCTTTTGTGACGCCTATGGATGGGACAAACAGGATTGATAATGAGGGCGAATCTGGGATTTGAACCAAGAATCGCCGGATTCTGTCACGGCTAAGGGGGGCAACTCTGTATTGCGCCTGTCTCAGTCGAGACAGTATAATATCGCTCTCTCAAAAGATGTACACGCCCTTCACCTCAGGCTTTCCCCGAACATAAAGATGATACTCCAAGATATAACTGGAATACAGCGTGAACTCTTTGAGAGCATCCCTGCTGACAAAAGTTGACTAACATAAAAGGGAAATCGAATTGTTATTATCTTCTAGAATTCATTATATTGTTTGTACTACTGTAAATACACTGCTGCAGTCTCTCTCTCTCTCTCTCTCTCTCTCTCTCTCTCTCTCTCTCTCTCTCTCTCTCTCTCTCATTACTGAATGATAAACTTCAGATTCTGATATTTCGAAAATATAATATTAAAAAAATACATTGTAACCATAAAATGTGTATTTGCGGGCTTTACCTTGGACTGTTCGAAGAAATGGTGCAGTAGCCTCGTCTTGGATTCGTGCACGTCGTCGCAGATAGCCTTATAATAACCAGGTATGAGACGGAGGAACGGAAACATCGTCAACGTAGCATCGAGTTCGTAACGTAGAAGTTTGTTCATGGCGTTGTTGAAATCCAGCATGGCGGACAGTGACAGTGACTCGCGTTCGGCTCGTCGTCCTATCAACTGAAATCAGTAAAGTAATATTCTTTATACAGTGAGTGTGGGTTTACACCGGCTTTAAGCAATATTCCGGCATTATAATGACACAAACATGGGCTTCACTCGTTGTTGGTTAGTTGGTTGTTATCGCCGCACAGAGACTAATTAAGTTGGTTTAACAAGTCAGTAATGGATACTCAGTTGGCTGGTCCACGTTTGTCCTTTCTATGTTTTTTCAATATATGTTTCTTTCTTTGTTGTTTTACGCCGCACTCAGCAATATTCCAGCTGTATGGCGGCGGTCTGTAAATAATTGAGTCTGGACCAGACAATCCAGTGATCAACAGCATGAGCATCGATCTACGCATTTGTGATACGATGACATGTGTCAACCAAGTCGGCGAACCTGACCATCCAATCGCCCTTTACGACAAGCATGGATTGCTGAAGACCAATTCTAATCCGGATCTTCACGGGTCTGCACGTAAATAGTTGCTGTTCCTCCATATGCTCGAGAGGGGTAAGGATAAAGGATCAAGCAATCGAGGCTACCTTTGGATGATATGTTGTCAGGCTTTGTGACTTGGTCAATCTCATGTCATCGTGATCGTGTCAAACTCATTGTACCTATGTGAGGAATCGACCCAGGGTCTTCGGCGTGACGACCGAACGCTTTAACCACTAGGCTACCACTGCCCCTATTCCTCCTGTAACTGCCTTCATCTGACGGTTTGATTATTCCCTGAGTGTCCAGCTTGGTGTGTCCCTGTCTATACACAACCAAAGCGAATATAACCCTGTCCAAAGCAACATCTATTGAGTAAATTATGATTCTGATATCAGCTAGGCCTGTGTAGATGTACATAAATAATTGTGAACAAATATCGGTTAAACATTTGTTAGGTTTGTTGGATTATTCACAGAACAAGGATCATCAATGGATCAAATGTTGGAATAGTTGTCACGACAACCGGAATTCGGTAGCACTAAGGGAGACAACTCTGCACAACTAAATCCAGCTCGGACCCGTGAACCGTTATGACTTATCTTTCATCTTCATTCCTGCAGTAACATTACCCTCCTGAACGGCTCTGTCTGTCTTCAATTTCGTCTATCTAACAGACGGCGTGTTGTGTCAACAAACAGACAGGTTTATTTAGACGGGTCTTGCACAAACTCGCACTAGTTATTGGTAGTCATAAACTACCGAGTAGAATAACTTGGTAATCACATGTAATCTTATCATTTCAGTCTAACCACGTACGCCCCTGTCATGTGTAATCTCAACATTTCAGATGGAATCTAACCACGTACGCCCCTGTCACGTGTAATCTCTTTATTTCAGATTGAATCGAACCATGCACGCTCCCGTCACATGAAATCTCATCCTTTCAGTCTAACCATGCACGCCCCTGTCACATGTAATCTCATCATTTCAGTCTAACCACGTACGCCCCTGTCACGTGTAATCTCATTATTTCAGATTGGATCTAACAATGCACGTCCCTGTCACATGTAATCTCATCATTTCAGTCTAACCACGTACGCCCCTGTCATGTGTAATCTCATTATTTCAGATGGAATCTAACCATGCACGCCCCTGTCACATGTAATCTCCTCATTTCAGTCTAACCACGTACGCCCCTGTCATGTGTAATCTCATTATTTCAGTCTAACCACGTACGCCGCTGTCATGTGTAATCTCATTATTTCAGATTGAGTCTAACCATGCACGTCCCTGTCACATGTAATCTCATCATTACAGTCTAACCACGTACGCCCCTGTCACGTCTCATTATTTCAATCTCATTATTTCATCATTGAATCTAACCACGTACGCCCACGTGTAATCTCATGTCAGATTGAATCTAATCTCATCATTTTCAGTCTAACCACGTACGCCCCTGTCATGTGTAATCTCATTATTTCAGATTGAATCTAACCATGCACGCCCCTGTCACATGTAATCTCATCATTTCAGTCTAACCACGTACGCCCCTGTCACATGTAATCTCATTATTTCAGATTGAATCTAACCATGCACGCCCCTGTCACATGTAATCTCATCATTTCAGTCTAACCACGTACGCCCCTGTCATGTGTAATCTCATTATTTCAGATTGAATCTAACCATGCACGTCCCTGTCACATGTAATCTCATCATTTCAGTCTAACCACGTACGCCCCTGTCATGTGTAATCTCATTATTTCAGATGGAATCCAACCATGCACGCCCCTGTCACTTGTAATCTCATCATTTCAGTCTAACCACGTTCGGCCCTGTCATGTGTAATCTCATTATTTCAGATGGAATCTAACCATGCACGCCCCTGTCACATGTAATCTCATCATTTCAGTCTAAATACGTTCGGCCCTGTCATGTGTAATCTCATTATTTCAGATTAAATCTAACCATGCACGCCCCTGTCACATGTAATCTCATCATTTCAGTCTAACCACGTACGCCCGTGTCACATGTAATCTCATCATTTCAGATTGAATCGAACCACGCACGCCCTGTCACATGTAATCTCATCATTTCAGATTGAATCGAACCACGTACGCCCCTGTCACATGTAATCTCATCATTTCAGATAAAATCTAACCATGCACGCCCCTGTCACATGTAATCTCATCATTTCAGTCTAACCACGTACGCCCCTGTCAGATGTAATCTCATCATTTCAGATTGAATCGAACCACGCACGCCCCTGTCACATGTAATCTCATCATTTCAAACTGAATCTAACAATGCACGCCCCTGATGCATGAAATCTCATGATTTCAATCTAACCACACACGCCCCTGCCACATGTTATCTCATCTCATCATTTCATTCTCGTCATGCATGTTAAAATCATATATAATCTAATCATATGTTACCTCGTCGTAAGGCCTAAGACCCAAGATACACGTTACTGAAATATTGTTCGAAGCGGCGCTAAACCCAACTTTCTCATCAGTCAGCCAGAATATATGCTTTACAACGGTACCCGACAACCCTACAAATTGGTCACGAGTGTGGGCGAGATGGGTTTTACGCCGCCTTTTAGCAACATCCCTGTATTATCACGCCAAGGGACACTAGAAAAGGGTTTCACAATATGTTCCCATATGGGGGATCAAATCTGGGTCTTAGGCGATACGAACGCTTTAACCACTGAGTGTGGATAGGCATCAAAGGGGATGTGGAATCGTCCCTTCTCTTGCTGACATACCACATTATTTTGGACTCAATATTCAATTGATTTAAGCTGGACATTGAGAGCAGAATGTGACATGTTTGCTATGTTGAACGTTGTTAAATTGAGACTCCGCGTAAAATTACAATGAGTGAGTTTAGGTTTACGCCACACTCAGCAATATTCCAGCTATATGGCGGCGGTCTGTAAATAATCGAGTCTGGACCAGACAATCCAGTGATCAACAGCATGAGCATCGATCTGCGCAATTGGGAACCGATGACATGTGTCAACCAAGTCATCGAGCCTGACCACCCGATCCCGTTAGTCGCCTCTTACGACAAGCATGGGTTACTGAAGGTTCATTCTTACTCGGACCTTCACGGGTGTAAGATTACAATTAGGCGGTGAAATATCATCAGCTTCGCACGTATTAATGTCGAATACACATACAGTGTCAGCATCCGGCTAAATTCTATGTTGTACAGAATGAATACCTGATCACAATATACATGGAACGTAATACTGTACTACTACTAATAATAAGATGACTGACTGACTGAGTTTGGTTTTACGCCGCTTTTAGCAATATTCGAGCAATATCACGGCGGTATAATAAGATGAAGAATGATGATAAGATGATGATGATGATGATGATGATGATGATGATGATAATGATGATGGAAACAGCAGCCCCATCAATAATAATAGTGAGTGAGTTAATATTTAACGTCACATCGGCAATATTTCAGCCATATTGTGACTAATCAATAATAATAACGATGATAATAATAACCATAACAATTATCGTCGTCGTCGTCGTCATCATTATCCTCAGCGTCATCATTATCATCATCAGCATCAACTATAAACCATACATCACTTACCAAACTATGAAGACAGTTCATCAAGGAGGTGGAGAGGATCTTTTCAAGATCCACCTGATCTTGCTGAGCAATTTCATTGACCACGTAGTCCATCTCGTCCCTCGCGTGGACCTCGTAAGCTTCGACCCCCTCGCCGTACAGGTGGAGCGACGCATGAAACAAACGACGCAGACGGGAGTGTTCCTGTCCCGCCTGAAGGAACCCCAAGGAACCATTGTCAAAGACAAACTTGGTCGCGAAAGTACCTTGTCTGTCATTCGTCAGTTTCTTGTTACCCTCCGAACTAAACACCTCTTTTACAACCTCGGCTTCGTTAAGAAACACTATGGCTTGACCAGGGAGTTTGAGCGCCAGGACGTCGCCGTATTCCTGAGCCCAGTCCGTGACGGCGACGTGAAGACCTGTCGTCGACGACGTATTCAGGAGACTTTTAAACGCTTCTAATGTCGGAGGCCCTGGCAAATGACTTTTCTTCTTCTTCATTTTCCATAATGTTTTCATCAGCAGGATTGCAATACACACAAGCACAGATGTAATAATCTCCATTTCCTAATTTGTACCCAACCTGTACAGTATATAAGTCAGAGGAAATGTGACGTTGGCGATATATGTCCACACTTTTGTATTTCTCAGGAAAGACGTCAATCCCAATTACTGACGCGAGCTGTCTATTATGAAATATTCAAGGAGCGCGACGTGTTTTCAGAGACGAGTAACACATGAACCGTCGAAGTGGTTCGGAATGTCTCCTGTTTCAGTACAGTAGAAGCTGGTGCATATTTAACACTACAATAGCCCGTTACTGACGACCACGCTTCGCTAATCTCGCACAGGGTCGTTGGTTTCCGTAGGGTTTAAACTCTCTTAACACCCTCCTTCCGAACAGACATCTATTAAAGCAGAGGGAACGATGTCTTAATCCAGCCAAATCCTGCTGCACTGCTTTGTCAAATGTGTGTTGTCGACATTGACCATCGAACCGGGATAACTGTTATAATAGTTCGAGACTCGCATGACCTATATTGCTAGGTCAGACGGCTTCCAAGGTCAGTATGCTAATACCATGCCGACTCATTTTAAACTCGAATTAATGACACACATAAGTCACAGCGCACTAGCAAATATGATGGAGATATTCCTTCGTGTTTCGCGGGAGGATTTGCGCTTTCGAAGTTTTCACAACTGGTTTGCAAATGGGCTTTTGAGACGCGTTTTAACAAGGCACTCTGCGCCGCGTGTTTATCTGTTTATGCACATTTTGGAGATGTGGCAAAACCGCGGCTTCTCATTGGTCACGCCCCCTCCATACCTCCAAGTGACGTCACAGATCAACACAACCTGGGTCGTTTTCTGCGTGGCAGAGACTAGGGGAATTGGCGCAAAGCCCAGCAAGTTTTTCCAGTCGCAGAACGGAAAGACATTAACATCACATGAAAGTTCTAGACAGTCTTATCTTTGGTTTATCCCAGACTTCATAAATTGCCAGTTCTGAAGGATTCAGTAATGGCAATGATATAGGTTTGGTAATAGCATCGATGGCAAGAGATACGAAGGATTTCTCTCTCTCTCTCTCTCTCTCTCTCTCTCTCTCTCTCTCTCTCTCTCTCTCTCTCTCTCTCTCTCTCTCTCTCTCTCTCTCTCTCTCTCTCTCTCTCTCTCTCTCTCTCTCTCTCTCTCTCTCTCTCTCTCTCTCTCTCTCTCTCTCTCTGTGGTGTGTGCTTGTGTACGTGTGCTATGACTAGTGGTTCTTGGGTTAATTCGGTTGTTTAGAGTCATTTCAATGTCAGGATGGTGTACACTACCTTAAATGATGAAATGAAATTCCACAGGCCATATATAAGCATTTAACGGCCGAATGTAGATGTACTTACATTAGGTTACATAGACGCACTTCATTGACTAGATGTTCTTACATTAGGTCACTTAGACGCACTTCACTGACTAGATGTTCGTACATTAGGTCACATAGACGCACTTCACTGACTAGATGTACTTACATTAGGTTACATAGACGCACTTCATTGACTAGATGTTCTTACATTAGGTCACTTAGACGCACTTCACTGACTAGATGTTCTTACATTAGGTCACATAGACGCACTTCATTGACTAGATGTTCTTACATTAGGTCACATAGACGCACTTCACTGACTAGATGTTCTTACATTAGGTCACTTAGACGCACTTCACTGACTACATGTTCTTACATTAGGTCACTTAGACGCACTTCATTGACTAGATGTACTTACATTAGGTCACATAGACGCACTTCACTGACTAGATGTTCTTACATTAGGTCACATAGACGCACTTCACTGACTACATGTTCTTACATTAGGTCACTTAGACGCACTTCATTGACTAGATGTACTACATTAGGTTATGTTCATTGACTAGATGTTCTTACATTAGGTTACATAGACGCACTTCACTTGACTTAATTATGTTCTTACATTAGGTCACTTAGACGCACTTCACTGACTAGATGTACTTACATTAGGTCACTTAGACGCACTTCATTGACTAGATGTACTTACATTAGGTCACTTAGACGCACTTCATTGACTAGATGTACTTACATTAGGTCACTAAGACGCACTTCACTGACTAACTGTTCTTACATAAGGTCACTTAGACGCACTTCACTTACTAGATGTTCTTACATTAGGTTACATAGGCGCACTTCATTGACTAGATGTACTTACATTAGGTCACTTAGACGCACTTCACTGACTAGATGTTCTTACATTAGGTCACATAGACGCACTTCAATGACTAGATGTTCTTAGATTAGGTTACATAAACGTACTTCACTGACTAAATGTTCTTACATTAGGTCACATAGACGCACTTCACTGACTAGATGTTCTTACATTAGGTCACATAGACGCACTTCAATGACTAGATGTTATTACATAAGGTTACATAGACGCACCTCACTGACTAGATATTCTTACACACTTTACAGGTCATATGGACGCAGTTCGTGGATCATATATGTAATGTACTTATATTAGGTACGACGTACGGTATTGACTAGATGTATATATACTTACATTAGCTCATATAAGACCCACTTCATTGACTACACGTAGAAGTAATTACAGTTGATCATGTGGACACACTTTGTTGACTAGATGTACATATACTAGGTTAAACAGAGTGCGTGAATATGGTTTTACGCCGCTTTTAGCAATACTCCAGCAATATCACGGCGACGGACACCAGAAATTGGCTTCACACATTATATCCATGTGGGGAATAGAACCCGGGTCTTCGGCGTGACGAGCCAACGCTTTAACCACTAGACTAGCCCACCACCCCGGGTAAAACAGAAGCACAACGATGTATTTCACATACACTTGAGGGATTTACTAAAATCTACGAACCTATGATCAACAGTCACTCATAATATATATACTCGTACATCATACATTGATTTGCTACATCAAACGTTCGAAAGTGTGCCCATAGGAAAAGTTTCAGATATATACTGACGTATAAAAGAAACTACACACCTGGTGTTTGGGGATTACATTCGCCCATAAAATGTCAGATATCGTATGACGTTGCGACGTTGCCAGCACCTTACGTTACTCGCCCAACAAAGACGATTCAGTCTATGTTGACGGGTTAATGTTATGCCCCGGAAAGGTCGGTACACCTGGATGCCAACAGCACGCAGTCATCTCATCACTGTGTTCTTGCTGATGCGGTAACCCAGCGCTGTTGATGCTGGTGACGGTCATCGATTAATCTCCATCTGCAAAACGTCTGGCCAGTCTAGCTGACGCGCCTATTTAGCCTGGTGATGGTCTGCCTTCTTCATCCGCACGTTCGTGCAACATGGCTGTTCGAAGCAACCATGTGCGACATTACAATGGCATTTTTTGGGCTCCGCTACAGATCATTGCAGATAATCGTGGACATTTTGATGTGTGCTGGCTGTATCAGTCAGCTGTGTTGCTACTGTTGGAGCATATCATGCACGTGCGATTGAAAATGACCATGACGTCCCACGCACGTCCCTGTTGAGAAAAATCAATTGTGTTTTGTCAACACGTACACAATGTTTCTGACTTATAAGTTACAATCGAAACACTTTTCAAAATATTTACGTTGTAATTGGGAAAGTAATCGATTTCTCGAAACAAACTTAAGTTTTTACTCAAATTTCAAACTCAGTTTGACAATTTGAAACAGCTGAATTTTTAACTCAACTGCATTTTTTAAAATAAAAAAGCCCAAACAACTTAAGTAATCTATCCGACAAACTCAACTTGTCTACTATGTTGGAGTTTAATATCGATTTCCGTTCATTCTGGGAAATGCATTTTCCTGCTTTTTCTCAATTTTGAGTAAAAACTCTAACTTAAGTCAAAACTCAGACTTAAGTTTGTTTCGAGAAATCGGGGCCTGGTGTGTACAGTATTTTGTACGTCAGTTTTATATATTAGATTACCGAGACCTTTAGACATACGTTATTCTCTCAATGTACAGAGACCATGGCACTTTAGACATGCTTAAAACACTACATGTACATAGATCATGGCATTTATGCACTAACCCTCACCACCAGCACCTTCATTGCCCTACCCGTCAAACCCCCTCAACCGATATTCCCCACACAACCCTCATTACAGCATCACTCGTACGATAAACTGGACTCTCTTCGGTCTAATTCGTATTGTGATTTAGTACCTGTCAGTTTGTGAAAGACCATTTTCTCGCTACCGAGAGAAGCATCCCCATGTGGACAATTCAAACAAAATTCGCCATCTTTCTATCACAGACACATACAATGTATATGACGATCGTACTAGGCTGTATTCAATTCAGAATCTGGTTCACGGTCATTATAAAGGCAATTCGGTGATAATACACACAAGGCAGAGATAATGTTAACCGTATCAACAAAACCATCAGACTAAACGCTCACTAACCCATTTATATTGGGACTTAACCCAGTACAAGGAAGTCCTACTGACAATACGTACAGTTGTGGGGTGACCTGTACTCTCTCTATTGGGGTATCAGCAAGGGTATCGTGTAGCACCACCGCTATTAATGGTCAAAAATATAAATGTTGAAAAATCACAGCATGTCATGTCGATAATGAAGATAAACGATAGAAATTTTAGATATTTCAGTACGATCATTGCGTGCGTGTTTGATAGGATAAAACTGCAGTTAGAGCGTTCTTGCAGTTTATTATACACCCACGAAAATAACCTACGCAATTACATGTAGATATTTCAGCTGTCGGGCGTTTAGGCTAGTTGTCCCTTACTCTGAGCTGACAGCCTGGTTTTAAAGGTCACACCACTTTAATATTTATAGGAACAGTAATTTGTTGTGTGATTGTTTCTGCAACTGAATGGTTATCATTGTTCAGTGGTATTTCAACGGAAACGAAATCAACAAGTAGAGGAATGATTGTACTGAGCCTTCATAATGTGACGACTGTGCGCGGCCGAACAGTTGAGCCGTTGTGCTAGAAACACGTTTCCTCCCGTTGGCTGTTGTGTCTCTGCACCGAGAGAAATCTATAAACATACGTACAAACGTTATGTCACTAAGCCTTTAGGCGCGTTGAAACAAATGAATGAATGTTCTTTGTTTCCTCAAATAATGTCAGAGAGTACAAATATAACACAACACATGACATGTATGCACATAAATATGAATTATAACCCTACGTTGCTATCCTTATTTACGTTTATTCTTTAACAGGTATAGTAAAGATTTTAGATTCCGAATTATTGCTCTTGACACAATGCTTACGAAACTGGCTCATTGTTCAAGATCAATAGCATCTAAGACGTGTGATACCACCCAGAAGAATGATAACTCTGGTGTCTTCTGAATAGTCTTTTATACCAGTCCAGTACTGGGTCGTACAGGGAGCGGTGGGGTAGCCTAGTGGTTAAAGCGTTGGCTCGTCACGCCGAAGACCCGGGTTCGAATCCCCACATGGGCACAATATGTGAAGCCCATTTCTGGTGTCCCCGCCGTGATGTTGCTGGAATATTGCTAAAAGCGGCGTAAAACCAAACTCAGTCAGTCAGTCGTACAGCTTTCTGTACAATTCCTTTCTCTGTCGCAATAGTTCTTCACAGTTCAAAAGTTGATGTTTTTAATTGCATGTTTCAGTGACGCAATGGAGTCTTAAGCACGGTCTATCTTTGTGTG